GAAAGTGACAAGATCTGATTTGCGTGTTTTTCAAAGACCACTCTGGCTGGCTGGAGGAGAGCCTGGGAAACAAGGGTAAAAACCATGTCTGAGCTCTGCTGTGAGATTGGAAGGTTCCTAGTGGGAAGAAAGAACAAGGAACAGTTCCTGAGGTGACAGACAGGGGATCTGAAAGATGAGGAAGAGATTCACCTTGAGGGATGCTAATGTAGCAATAAAGAGATCTTAAAATGTAGCAGAAAGCGCAAGTTGTGTTTGGGAGAAGCGGTCCCCTTGTGGGAAGTTACCAGTGGAAATGACACTGGATGGGAAGAAACCCCCAGGCTGGACATCACTGCTTTGCTGCTGAAATGCCAAGGGTGAAACTGGCATTTCTAGAATAAATGTGATCCATGAATACAAAAATGTAAAGAGAACAAGTCATTGAAAAATCCCCCTCTGTATACCACCGAATTAGTTATTGTCACTCCGCTAAGTGGGAGCATGGAGTAGATACGAAAAGGTCTTCTCAATAAGACTTTACCACCAGCATATTCTTGGACTTCCAAAAAAAATTTAAGATTCTGCTTCAACTTTTCTTCCTAGGATTGTTTCCCCGCCCCTTGTTCAAGTTATCTTTAAATAATCAAATCCCCTTTCTTCCTAGTGCATAATGCAATGCTTCCAGTGAAACATTCAGGTCATTTGGAACACAGTATTGTTTTGTGGTTCTCATCACTATAAAATATGCCCCATTAAGATGATGTACACTCTAAACAGGAGTTAATGAACCTGGAGTTTTGCAGGATAATTCAAACTTTAAGGGTGATATTAACTTAAGTAAAGTTAGAAAAGGAAGAAAAATCAGGTTCATTACACCCCAGAGATCACAGTCTTTCCCCTCTCAGTTCATAAAAGCATATGCATTGCTCAGTTACTCTCATACCATCATTAGTGTGGTTGTCGAGCATGTGTGTGTATATAATTAAGTACCCCCCTGTGGCTATTAAAGGACTCCGGGTTTCCACAGGGTGTATGTGTGGAACTTGAGTCATAAGACCATGAAAGAGTCTCCGTATGTTTAACCTCTGTGGTGTGCTGGGTGGAAGTGTGTGGCATCTGCTCACAGACCATTCAAAGCAGAGGCGGAACAGATATGACCTCTGGCCAAACCCAGCCCACTACCTGTTTTGTAAATAAAGTTTTATTGGCACACAGCCATGGCCATTTATTTGCAAAGCATCTGCGACTGTGTTAGCCCTGAAACAAGAGCTGAGTAGTGACAATAGCGATTGTAAACAAGCCATGATGCCTAAAATATTCATTTGTCTTGCTCTTTGAAGAAATCACTCTGCCACCTCTCGGTACAAAGGCAACCACTTGTTCCATGATGTAGACCATGTGCATAATTATAAATGGAATAAAAATTACATTAAATTCCTCAAAGATTGTCTCAAGGCATAATAACTACATTACACAGAATGCCAAGGTTCTTAGAGTCACTTGACCTACTTAGGAATACAATTCTTTTTATTTTATACCCTACACCTGGTATCTTAAGCTCTTACTATTATTTAATTTCTTCAAGAAGTAAAATAAATAAATAAATATAATAGCCACAAGTTTTATAAGGCCTCCTGAAAACACAATGTCTCCTGCTCCCCTTCTGGCTCTGCAGCAGCTGTTAACTATCAAATACTATTTCTAGAACCATGCTGACATCAGTCGATGATCATACACAAAGCTGTTTGGCATGATCCACACTGTGCAAGTCGAGGCTGTTAAAATGAAACAGCTCTGTTCAAATTAACTCTATTCACATCACAGGGAAAATATCTCTGTGCGCCAAATCAATTCCTCCCTATAGCAGCGGGGGAGAAAGAAAAAACGTTCCCACCCTCTACAAAAAGGTGATTCAGACACAGGAGGGGAAAAAGGATGATAAAGAAGAAAAAAAAAACATCAAAATTAAAATGATAAAACACAAATCTGCTTGACTGCAGAAGTGCTTCCAGATAGATGAAATTGGACTAAAAATTGAGCCAGCAACAAATGTAACTGACGGGGAAGTCTGCATTCTGGACGCGGTTCTGTTATTAGTGCTAATATGCCTATATTTTTGTTCTGTTGTTCTGGTGGCAAGAAGATAAATGCCCATATAATATCTCCACCCAGTGGAAGCCCTGGTGGTGGTTAGTGTGCAAACATGCCGTGCTTATGTGGAAGGGAAAGACATGTTTTTAAAAAGGACTCTCTACTGTGAGAGGCCATTGCAGATCCAGGTATAGCTTTGAAATAGAATTTCTTAAAACCATTACATGGAACATAAAAAAAAAAATTAAAAAAACCAGTTCCTTTGTGAAATTTAAAATTCTATAGATGTAATTTTCTTCAAGCAGCTAAGTATTTTCCCTACATGATTTTGAAGTAGCACTTCTTTAAAATTAACAATCGTTCTCTCTTCGTCCTTTATAATCAGTGGTTGAAATTTACATTCAGGGCGATCACATCCTGGGGTAGGGTAGGGGTCTTGTTTGTTTGTTTGTTTGTTTGTTTTTCTGTCTGCTCACATGCCCCTAAAATCAGTCCTTAAGGGCTCCTTCTCAAGTCCCAGCGGAGATGGCCGCAGCCAAGAGGGACTGTGAGCTGTAGGCAGTGTTCCAGAGTATCTGGCCGTCCCCATTTCCAAAGCTGAGGATGGGAGCCCTGGAACTGGTTGCCATCCGAGGGGCCAAGTCTGGAGCCAGGGGGTTCAAGCCCGCAAGTCAGTTGTTTCCTCTAAGCAGCCATTGAGTTTTGCAGAACAAGCATGAGGCTAGAAACTCTGGCCAGCTAGTAACAGCATGAAATACAAAACAGGAGTACCAGCCTTTATGGGCTAATACCTTTTGATGTTTGTTCTGTGTGCATGAGTGTATGCATGTAGGTTTGAGTGCACTTACGTACACGCGTGTGCGAAACCGAGGTCATCCTCGGGTGTCCTTCCTTAGGCTACCTTCTTTTGGGAACAGGAGCTCTCACTGGCCTGGAATTTGCCAAGTTGCCCAGGTTGGCCAGTGATCTTAGGGGTCCACCAGTTGCCATCCCCCTAGCGCAGGGATGGGAAATGCACGCCACCACTCCTGGCTTTTTTTTTTTTTTGGTTTTTCGAGACAGGGTTTCTCTGTGTAGCTTTGCGCCTTTCCTGGAACTCACTCTGTAGACCAGGCTGGCCTCGAACTCACAGAGATCCGCCTGGCTCTGCCTCCCGAGTGCTGGGATTAAAGGCGTGCGCCACCACCGCCCGGCGGCTTTTTTTTTTTTAAACACAAATTCTGGGGATTGAACTCAAGTCCTCGTGATTGTAAGGCAAACCCTGAATTGTTCCCACCCCAGCTCTGTGCTTCCTTCTAAGGGTCTTGTTTAGATTCCTCCGTGGCCACGGACAAAACAGTGTTCACAGCTTCCTTGGGAGGGAAACTACTCTACATAAACCATGATCCGCACTGAAGCCTGTCTTCAATCACAAGAAAGCTCTCGCAGACCTTGGTAAACCAGAGATTATTTAAATAGCAGTAGCTCCTGCGATCTGGAGCCTATACTTACTCCAAAGTCTCTCTCCACTTACATTCTGTTCTCTTAAAAGCATTTTTCATTCTTAATGTGTTTAACTCTCTCTCTTCCTCCCTCCCTCCCTCCATCCCTCCCTCCCTCCCTCCCTCCATTCCTCCCTCCTTCCCTCCCTCCATCCTTCCCTCCTTTCCTTTCTTTCTATATCAGTGCTGTCTCTAGTGGACAAAATTCTAAAGTAATCCCCACAATCCCCACAATCCCCACTCCTGGTGAACTTGCCCCACATCCCCCTCGAGTGTGGGCAGAGTCAGTCAGTGTCCTCAGATTGGGCTACTCCATGAGTCAGCTTTGAAAGGAGTTTTGTCCTGGGTGGACTTCATGAAGCAAGACGTTTAATGGAAGGTGAAGGCGAGCTTGTGGTTTAGAGAAATCCCATGGAAGGCACCCTAGTGTGGTGGTATTGTGTTCCCCAAAATATTGTGTACCTTAATAAACTTACCTGGGGTCAGAGAACAGAAAAGCCACAAGATACTTAGGCTAGAAAATGGTGGCACTCACGCCTTTAATCCTAGCATTCCAGAGACAGAAATCCCTCTGGATCTCTGTGAGTTCAAGGCCGCATTGGAAACAGCCAGGCATGGTGACTCACGCCTTTAATCCCAGAAAGCAGCCTTTAATCCCAGGGAGTGGTGGTAGAAAGCAGAAAGGTTTATAAGGCGTGAGGACCAGAAACTAGAAGCATTTGCCTGGTTAAACATTTTGGCTGGTTAAGCGTTCAGGATTTGGAGCACAGTTCAGCTGAGATTCATTCTGGATGAGGATTCAGAGGCTTCCAGTCTGAGGAAACAGGACCAGCTGAGGAACTGGCAAGGTGAGATAGCTGTGGCTTGTTCTGTCTCTCTGATCTACCAGCATTCACCCCAATACCTGGCCTCAGGTTTGATTTTATTAATAAGAACTTTTAAGATTCATGCTACATCCTAGGGCAGCAGTCTCTAGTAGCTGCAAGCAGACCCCCCCCCCCCGCCGCCCCCATCATTAAGAGTCATGAGTTTTATGAGTTTTAAAGAAGGATCTTGAGCATCAAAGGGGACTTCAGTCCACACTTGGCCTTGTAAGAACCTGAGCAAGGGACCCAGCTAACCTGTATCCGGACTCCCTGTTGTGATGTGCTAGACAGCGGTAAAAACTAGTGCGCCACGCAACAGAGCTTTCCATGAAGACGGAAACAGTTTCTGTTTACTTTGCTCTGTGGTAGCCAACAGCCAGGTAAAACTAGTAAGCATGTGAAATGAGGCCAGTACAACTGGAGAGCTGGACTTTTTATTTTACTGTGTTCTACTTTCCTTAGATGTGTGTGGCTAGCGGCTACTGGGTTGGACAGTGCTAGTCTAGGCTCATTATAATGGAGGTGCTATTCTGGTTCATAACCCCTCCCGCCCCCACGAGCTCAGGAGTCTGGTTCTCACCTTCCACCTTGCTGACACGTGGTCTCTCTTGTTCCCGCTGCCATGCTGGGTACTCCAGGCTGTCTACCCAGACAGCTTCCTGGTGATTCTACCGTGTCCACTTCCCACACTGCCTTAGGATTACACACATGCTCCACTGCATCCAGAGAAGCCAGGTGTATTCTGATGAGCAGATCTGATGACAGAGAAGTTTAAAGGCCATGCGGAAATTGGAAGTTATTATCAGAGTCTGGGAAGGGATCATTTAACAAAAGAAAGTTACGGACATCAAAGGAAGCACCAGAAGTCAGGGGATGGGTGTGCACATACCAAAATGTGTGTGAATATATGAAGTCAGAGAAGTTATGAGGAAGAAAGAAAAGAGGGGGAGAGAGAGGAGGAAGAGGAGGGAGGAAGGAAGGAAGGGAGGGAGGGAGGAAGGAAGGAAGGAAGGAAGAAAGGAAGGAAGGAAGGAAGGAAGAGGATCCAGATCTAGTTCTAGGGGATCTGATGCCTCCTTCTAGCCTCTGTGGGCACCAGGAACTCATGTGGTGCACAGATATAAGTGCAGGCAAAATACCCATGGAAATAATTTTAAAAAATAATCCTCTACTAGTCAGTGAGCAATCAAACCAAATAAGCCTTCTGGAGGATCCAATAATAAAACGACAGACTGTGTGTAATGTGTTTATGTAAATAAATACCTCTTTTCAGTTGTACCTGCCTAGGAGATGATGATAAACAAGCAATAGTAAGCTCAGGGCATAAAGTCTATCTATCTATCTATCTATCTATCTATCTATCTATCTATCTATCTATCATCTATCTACCTTTCTCTCTATCATCCATCCATCCATCCATCCGTCTGTCCGTCCGTCCGTCCATCCATCCATCCATCCATCCATCTACCTACCTACCTTTCTATCTAGCTACCTATCTACTTAACTACCTACCTACTATCTTGCAAGTGTATGTATGTATGTATGTATGTATGTATGTATGTATGTATGTATGTATATGTGTTCCTAAGAGCATGCACACGTGGACTCACATATCTGCCGTGGCACATGTGTGGAGGCCAGAGGACACCTCGTGGAGCTGGAACTCACATTCTACTGTGGGTCCTGGAGATTGAACTCAGTTCATCAGGTTTGGTGACAGGTGCCTTTGCTCACTGAGCCACCTCACCAGCCCCCAAATTCACATTTTGCTTGCAGTCACCTCTGGTGATTTCATGGAGTCCCTTTTTTCTCCTTACCTCCTAGGTTCTTGGCAGAATCTAAAAATAAATTAAAGTCCTTCTATATTTTGTTACCATAACCCGATAGATTGTTCTCGATGGGGTTTCTCAGTGATATTTGTAAAGAGTGTTTAGGAAGGCTTTCTAACATGCTGATGTCTTTGTTTTGATGCTCTACCTCTGGGCTGAATGTGGAACCATCTTCAATTTCCACTGAACCATATAGAATTTCTGAGAAAAACACAAGATCTTGATTTATTGTTTATCTTATTAGTCCTAGTTTCCAGCAATGACATTGCATGCTTCTTTACCATCATACAAAGTATATATGTATGTATATCTATATATAAATATATGTCATTTTTAATCAAGATCATAAATAGCTTCTGGCAGTTAACAGATTGCTTTCTTTGCTACAAGCACCATCTTGAACTCTGAGTCACTGGCAACAACCTAATCCTCAGGGTACGAGCCAGCGGAGTACATGAGGGTCTATCTTAGAGACAGTGTCATTAAAAAGTCATTCATTATACTGAGTCTAAAGCATGCAGAAATGCTGACTCAGCACCTATGATGGTCCAGAGCTGGGGACATTAACATGGATGACTATATGGGTGTCTTCACGGGGCACAGAAGTAGTGGGTGAGGCAGCCCTGGGCACACAAATGGCTTGTAAAAACTCAGATACACACTCTGGGATATAAACAGAGTCAGTGGGAACATGAAAAACAGGTGACTTGATTTTTTGTCTGGAGGGCACTCTGAGAAACGGAGGTGATGCTTAAGCTTAAGAGGATAAGGGATGAATGAAGGGCAAACCAGGAAGGCAACACAATTCAAAACATAATCAGGATCCAGCCCCTGAAGAAATGTGGTGGTCAGGAGAGATGGCCCAGCAATTACCAATACTAGCTGTTCTTTCAGAAGATTGGAGTTTGGTTCCCAGCACCCATGTCAAGCAGCTCACAGCTGCCTGTAACTCTAACTGTAGAAGATCTGATGCCCTCTTCTGGCCTCAGAAGGCACTGCACTCATATGTGCATACACCTGCACACACAAACACATAATAAAAATAAAGTCTTTAAAAAGAAACCTAAGCTTTTTGCTCTAAGGCAGTAGTTTTCAAAGTTGGGCCCCTGGATTATCACCACCCCTTGTGAGATTGCTAGAAATGCAAATTGTTGGTCCTCACCCCTAGGTTCAGTGAGGCAGCATCCTGGGCAACAGAACCTGTGGTAGTCAGAATTTCCACTGCTATGATACCAACAAAAACAATTTTTAAGGGGAAATGCACACCGTTTCAGAGATTCCATTGTTTTCTAGGCTTGTTGTAAGACAGATGGGGAAGAGAGAAATGCTCATGTAATAACAGTGGCCAGAAATAAGATCTATCTTTGCAGGGCCTGCCCCCAGTGGACCTACTTCCTTCAATTAGGCCCCATATCCTAATTTTCTACCACCCCCTGATAACACCATCACATTATGAATCATGTGGGTGGGTGCTGGGAACTGAACTCACCTCAGGAAGGGCAGCAAGTACGGAACCATTTTCCCAGCCCCAGCTTCTAACTTCTTGGCAACCTTTTCTCATTAAACATCTCTGTATTTGAGCCTAAGCTTTGCCTACCACTTTTTAGAGGCTTCCATGAAGTCCGAGCATCTTACAAGGGAGTCCTCATCCTTGGAAAAGTTCAAAACCCTTGAGTTGGTGCCACTCCTGTGGCTTGGTTACCCCGACTGTTGCTGTGGTGTTGACTGTGGTCTCAGGAGGCTCAGCACTATGTCTCACCCTCATCCAGATGTGGGCCCCTCATCCAGATGTGGGCATTTTACCATTGCTCTGGTTCTCCAATCCTTTCCTCTCTTTGTGGGGTCAAGGTTGTGAGTTCATCCCTGAAGAGACTTTTGAATTCCTACTAACACTTTGCATAATATTAGGGTACAGCTGCCGAACAGTGACAATTCTCACATCAGGGTTTTATAGTCTTTCTTAAAAATCCCCAGATCTCCCAAAGGTATGATTAGCTGAAAGATTAATTTATTTTACAACCTAATTATAATTTCTTTTACAAAGGAGAGATCTCTTTATTAAAACAGATAACAAACATTAAAAGCAAAGAAGATAGCCCCACAGAGCAAATTACTAAAGAAAATATATACCTAACTGCATTAGCTACATTTCTTACCCATCCTTAGGTCTTATCAATCATTGTTTAGTGTCTGTTCTATTCCTAAAGCTCGGTAGACAATTTCCATTTGGAATCTTTCTTCTTCCAGCCCAGGCCTCTGGCTGCCTTTTGGTGAGTGCTGTATTTTCTCGGTGTCTAGTTTTCGGGTCGTAGGACCCCTTGGACTTGCCTGACTGGCAGGATTTGTGGGAGAAAGGGCTCTCCAACGCAGGTGGTTCCTCTGCTCTCCCTACTGCGTGGCTGAGCTCATCAGGTCCTTCCCTTGTTTTGGTTAAAGCCAAACACCCATCTTGACCCTCCTTCAGTGGGAGGCCTCTTACAAGGGGGACCCACCCCCCGGCTGATCTGCTTCTTCTACCAGAAACCTTCCTTGTCCTCAAACTTTGATGGCAGCCTTTTTCCTTCAAGGTAACAGTGACTAGGGGGGAAAAAAGCTGTAGACACATAAAATGGGTTTCTATCAGTAGAAGTGGGGCATATTATATTGTATTATGTTGATGTCAGAGTGTTTCAGGAAAACAGAACCAGTAGCGTATTGCATGTACACACATACATGCACACACACACACACACACACACACACACACACACACACGCACGCACACACACACACACACACACGTGTATAAATGAAACCTTTTCTCCCAAAGACAAAACAGAGTCCTTGGGTGCAGTCTACCTTTCTTCTTGATATGCTGTCACTTAAAGGACCTTGGTTGTTCATACCTGTTTTCCTGGTAGGGTGACCCATTTTCTGTCCCTGAAGGATCTGGGCTATTATGAGTATTGCCTGAATGGGGTCACTACAGTTTTCTACTGGCTTTAATCACAGGTTTGACATGAAGGGATCTGCCATATGCTTGACATGCCCGTCCACACCTCTGTTGTTGAGGAGCAACCCATTGCTTGGTGGCCAGGATCCCAGCCAGCATAGTACCTCTCTTTGATTTTAGTTGATTCGGGAGCATGAGGAGTCCAAAGACAGTCTTAGCTTCCATCTTAATGGGTTTATCATTGCATCTCCTATGGAACCACTTCTCCCTTCGACTAGCAGTCAACAGGACATGGGAATGCAGAAGAGGAAAGCGGGATTTTAGTGGGGTTCTTTAGGGACACTAGTGATTGGTGTCACTTGACATTTCCACCCTTCAAAGAGCGGCAAGTGCTGGGTATGGATTCAAGGCACATACTGCTTCCAGGGAAACCTTACCCAGCCCTGCCGACACTTACCTGGTGCAGAAACTGAGTGTTCAAAAGGCTCTTCCAGATTCAGGATGGTTGGTCAATGCCTCTAATCCCAGTATTTGAGAGGTAAAAGAAGAAGGATCTAGAATTCAGGACAAGACTCCTCTACACAGTGAATTTAAGACCACACTGGGCTCTCTGAGATCTGGTCTGAAAGGACCAAGACACAAGCCACCCCACTGTTCTATCAAGCCAGCTGGTGCAGGATGGTAGAAAACAGGATGAGGCCAGTGAATTCTATAACGTTTCGTTCGCTGTAGTTTGAGTTCCTCCGTCAGAAACAGTACTATATGAAATACTACCATGGTAAATGATGATTCCGCAGTTTGGGCAAAAGCATTACATGCAGAGAATTCACACCTGGATCCAGACTAATTTCTTATTTCGACAAAGACAATCCCCTGCCACTTCTATGGTAGTAGCCAAATGTATCCAGCTTGGCAGTGGGTGTCTGCCTGATTCCCCTGGGTATGGTACCACATAGAGAATTCACCATAGATCTCTGCTGCTGGAAGACAGGGC